TTTACACGTTATTAGGACCGGCAGTAATCCAAGAGGAGCTACAAGCAGAGGCTAGTAATTTAGTCATAATGATCAGTTGAATCATACTTCTAATTGTTCATTTCTATTCAACTGAGTGAAACACTTTGTATCCAACGTATAAAACGACTAATCTCGTCCGCATACAAGGACGTAGACAGTCTGTATGCTCATATGAAAACATTACATCTAATATATCATTGAAACAGATCTCAAATTATTTATATATTCATTCAACAGTATTCGGATTCTATTGTCAGTTGCAAAATCTTTACCAATGATTTCATTTCCTTCAACATGTACTTATTCCCAGTTTCAAATCAAGGAAATCTGTAAGAAGAAGCTCCTATCAACAGTTTATGGGGTTTGTTGTACATGTTTTATCCATTTAGTTTTCATGTCTCCATGTTTCACCAACAAATAAAACGTCACTGTCAGCAAACTTCAATTGGTAGATGCTATTTTCATCATTCGTTCATAATCATTATCTTCATCATATCATTGACCGAATCAATGTTATCTATTTATAATCCCTCTCTATTTCTTTTCAGTGTTTATTTCTGCTATCAGATTATAAACTCCGCCTGTGGCTCTTCTGGAGTTACTGCTGGTCCCAAGCCCAGGTAAAGGAAGAGGGTTGGGCATGGGGTTAGCGACCCCATCCTGTAGAAAACCAACTAGCTAAAAAACGCCAACCAGAGACAATTATTCAAACCATATAAACTCTGCCCTAGGAGTTGAAAGGAAGAATTATGACGCCTCATGATGAAAGCCGAGATTTTTCGGACGTCACGAGGCCGATGCTCCTTTTAGCAACCAGAGCAACACCATTTATAGGTATATGGAATGTCCAAACAATGTGGGAGACAGGGAATACCAGTCAAATAGCAATCGAAATGAGGAGATACAAATTGTCAGTATTTGGAATCAGCGAAACTGATTAGACACAACCTGCACAACAAAAGCTAGGTACAGGAGAGATGCTGCTGTACTCCGTTCACAAAGGGGAAATGCTTCACACACTCAGGGAGTTGCTCTAATGCTGTCCAGAGAAGCACAAAATGCACTTGTAGGATGGGAATCTCATAAATCCAGGATAATCAAAGCATCATTCAAAACAAAGAAGCAAGGGATCACAATGAACGTTATCCAATGTTATACACCCACCAATAATAGCAACGACGATGATAAAGATCAGTTCTATGAAAGGCTGCAATCAATCATAGATACGTGCTCAAGAAAGAACCTTACTATCATGATGAGAGATCTAAATGCTAAACTCGGAGTGGATAACACTGAATATGAAGATATGATTGGACGACATGAACTAAGAGAGGGAAATAAAAATGGGGCGAGATTTGCAAGTATATGTGCATTCAACAAATTGGTTATAGGCGGCACAATATTTCTACACAAACGCATACACAAGCTGCATGTATCTCATCGGACGACACCACAGAGAACCAGATAGATCATATTTGTATCAACAAACAATTCTGAAAGAAAATGAAAGATGTGAGAATCAGGAGAGATGCTGACATAGATTCAGATCACTACTAGCTGGCTGTGGTCAAGATGAGACTGAAGCTGGAAAACTGGACAAACAGCATTACAAGGGTTCAATACAGCCTTCCTTCGAGATACTCACAAACTTAACCAATTCAAGATAACTCCCAACAACAGGTTCCAGGCTATACAGGATCTACTGAAAGAACAAGAAACTACTTTGGAGGACAACTGGAAAGGGATAAAAGAAGCACTAACTTCAACGTGCCAGGAGGTTCTTGGTCCTAAGAAACATCACCATAAGGAATGGATCTCTATGGGAACCCTGGACAAAATTCAAGAAAGGAAGAACAAGAAACTAGCAATTAACAACAGCCGAACACGAGCAGAAAAAGTCAAAGCACAAGCAGACTACGCAGAAGCAAACAGGGAAGCGAAGAAAAGCAACATAACCGACAAGCAGAAATACATGAGAGAACTAGCAACGACGGCGGAAAAAGCTGCCAGAGAAGGGAATATGAAACAACTATATGATACAACGAAGAAATTGGCAGGGAGATATAGCAAACCAGAGAGACCAGTCAAAGACAAAGAAGGAAAGACAATCACTGAGATTCAAGAACAGAGGAAAAGTTGGGCAGAACACTTTGAGGAACTGCTGAATAGACCGGCCCCATTGAATCCACCGAACATCGAAGCAGCCCACACAGACCTTCCAATAGATGTCACTCCACCAACGATCGAAGTAAAGATGGCCATCAGACAAATCAAAAGTGGGAAGGCGGCAGGACCTGATAATATACCAGCTGAGGCACTGAAATCAGACATTGAAATAATTGCAAACATGCTTCATCTTCTATTCAAGAAGATTTGGGAAGAGGAACAAGTGCCAACAGACTGGAAAGAAAAATATCTCATCAAGATACCAAAGAAAGGAGATCTGAGCAAATGCGGGAATTACAGAGGCATCACACTACCATTGTTACTAGGAATCGTTTTCAACAGAATGTTGCTAAACCGGATGGAAGACGCAGTAGACGCCCAACTTCAAGATCAACAGGCTGGATTCCGTAAGGATTGGTCGTGCACAGACCAGATTTCGACACTACGGGTCATCACTAAACAATCAGTTGAGTGGGATTCGTCACTATACATCAACTTCGCTGACTATGAGAAGGCGTTTGACAGTGTGGGCAGGAGAACATTATGGAAATTTCTTCAAAACTATGGAGTTTCTCAGAAGATTTTCAACATTATCCAAAACTCATACGATGGGCTACAGTGCAAAGTGGTGCATGGAGGACAGCTATCAGATGCATTTCCAGTAGGAACCGGAGTCAGACAAGGCTGTCTACGCTCACCCTTCCTCTTTCTTCTGGTGGTTAACTGGATTATGAAGATCACAACATCTGAAGGGAAGCACGGAATACAATGGACATATCAGAATCAATCGGGTGATTCGGACTTCGCAGATGACCTATCCCTACTATCTCATACACACGAACAAATAAGGAAGAAAACAGCAAGTGAAGCAGCAATCTCTGCATCGATAGGCCTCAACATAAACAAAGGGAAGAAGCATGATTCACAAATACAACACGCTGAACACCCACTCAGTCACATTTGATGGAAAAACTCTGGAAGAGTTAGGAACATTCACCTATCTGGGAAGCATCATCGATGAACACGGTGGATCTGATGCAGATGTAACGGCGCGTATCGGCAAAGCAATATCAGTATGTTTACAATTAAAGAACATCTAGATCTCAAAACAATTGTCAACCAACAACAATGTCAGAATTTTCAATACAATTGTCAAGACGGTTCTACTATATGGGGCGGAGACGTGAAGAACTACAAAAGTCATCACCCAGAAGATATAGGTTTTTGTTAACACTTGTCTACGCAAGATACTTCGGATTCGTTGGCCAGATACTATCAGCAACATTCTTCCGTGGGAAAGAGCAAAGCAGATTTCATAGGAGGAAGAAATCAGGAAGAAGGGCAGGAAGTGGATAGGATACACATTAAGGGAAGCATCTAACTGCTTCAGAAGGCAAGCCCTCACATGGAGTCCTGAAGGCCAAAGGAAATCAGGAAGACCCCTGAACAAATTACGTCGAGAAATGGAGACAGACATGAGAAGAATGAACAAAAATTGGATAGAACTAGAAAGAAAGTCCTATGACAGAGTGGGTTGGAGAATGCTGGTCGGCAGCTTATCCTCCATTGGGAGTAACATACGTAAGTAAGTAAGTAGGTAAGGTAGTAAGTGTATTTATATAGTAACCAAGTATATATTCTAGGCAATAACCACATCGGTTAATGTATCATATCAAATCATTGTCGTCTATAATTGATAACATTAATACAAAGTATTGCATAATACAAAACAGAAGAATTTCAATAGAGATCTTCTGTCTTCTATTGTCTGACATTCATTACTTTAAAAGCAATAAAACAAAAACAAAGATGAAAGATGACCTTTGTTTTTCGATACTGACAATTTACCTTAAATAATTGACGGTGTGACCTTGTAGTTTTCTGTTTTTGTTCCTTCTTTGCCGTTATTGATTAAAGAATTCCGTCTGTAGACCATCCCGTAGAAAACTAACTCGCTAAAAAAACGCTAACCAGGAAAAATTAATTCATTGATTGAAGAGAATAATGTGGAAAACGATACGTAAGAATTTGATTATTTTTATATAGTTCAGATCATGAATCAATTGAAGCTAGACCGCCATGGAAAATCTGTTGTGGACTCCACATATCCACACTGAAGACAGTTGGTGAATGATTGCTCAACTTCGTGGATTGGTCGAAGTTAGACATTCACGCCATCAGATGCCGGCCGGCATAGTGGTCTAGTGGATGATCACTCTGGTGCGAGACTGGTAAGTCTTGGATTCGAATCTCGTGAGGCGTTATCGTGGAGTCCCACAACAGGACGGGACAGCCTTGCAGTGCTTCCAGGTTTTCCATTGTGGTCCACCTTCAAACAAGATTCCCATGGAGAACGTGTAATCACTGGATGGCCGTTTCGTCCCATTATGTGACTCCTCAGCACCCACGATCCTGCCTCGCGAGATTCAAACCCGCAACCTATCAGTCTCACGCGCGATCGCTTAACCACTAGATCTCAACTATTAAAATAATATATGTTCATCTCATATTTGTATCTGGCTAGAAATGGTTATCATATCAAATCCAGTTGGCACCTTCATTTTCTTTGTTTACTTTCTGTTGTCATCTGTCGGAGGTCATGAATATATAAAATATTTCTATAGAAAATAGTTTCTTTTTGTCAGATATTATTCTATTATTATTCACTGATATGAATGAAGTCGGTGAACGTGTAGTAGTAGTAGTAGTAGTAGTAGTAGTAGTAGTAGTAGTAGTAGTGGTAGTAGTAGTAGTAGTAGTAGTAGTAGTAGTAGTAGTAGGAGGAGGAGGAGGAGGAGGAGGAGGATCAGGAGTAGGAGTAGGAGCGAGTAGAATAGGTTGAACATTAAATTGAAGTTAGTTTGCCAGACAATATAGTTTTTTCGGTCATTTGGTTGCTTGCTTGCTTGTTTGCATGAACGAATATAACATAGTTTTCAAGATGACACTTTAATTAACTGAAGTATTCAATTATTTCTTCTCTTTTCTATTCTTTTGTTCTATTTTCAGCAGTTAACCAATTAATAACACATAGAATGGTACCATTAACAAATCGATATTTAACTTCTGAGGATATAAATACCACATAAAAAATTTAGTTTCGATAGCAACAAGAACCAAAGAAAATGTACCACAGATTACTGTTTCATTTGAATTTGTTTATATTTTGGTTCATTCATTTATCAATTGAAGATGGTATGTAATTGAATCATTGAATTGAACTTATTTATCAACTACTTACTTATTATTCATATTCATATACTTCTTATATCATGTTGAAATGACTAATGATAGATAGATTATAAGCAGGGATGGATAGTGACTATCAGTGGAATCCAGTTTGAAGCGTGTTTCGTCCTATTTGAGACTCGTCAGCTGGATGTACCAACATCTGAGAGTTGATATTCACTCTGAGACTGAAACTCAGTACTTATAGTTTATCAATCAGTCGAATAAATCTAGACCATCATAGAAAGAAATGAGAATATTGAACAACCATTTCGTCCTAGTACGGAGTAAGTTGAAATTGGACATTACCATAGTTGGATACAGCCTGGCTCAGTACTCTGGTGGTTAAGCGTTTGCGCTTGAGGCTGTAGGTTCCGCAATTGAATCATATATGAAATACGGTTGATGTACACTGCTGAAAAGTTCCATATTATTATGAAATGCTCGTTTAGTGCTTCCAGGTTTTTCATGGTGGTCTAAATTGTATTGATTCATGTATGTTGCAACCCTAAACATCGATAGGAAGATTCAAAGAACTAATATAAAAATGAATTCAAACTTCAACCCATTTCAAAAGTTGTGTGGCTATCATGACATAGAAGCTATGTGCATAACACTACAGCGTTTATAGTGAGAGGTGTTGAGTTCGAGTCCCATAGTGTTCAAGTTGCTGTATAGATTCAGCATGTGGGTTATTGGAGAAGAGCATGAGAACCAAATCCAGAGTACAATAAGAAGACTTAACATGTACATAACAGTAAAGTATCTACATTTTCACTGGATGATTGATTTTTTTTGTTTTACAGACAACAGTTTGATTATGAAAATAGATAATGCTGAGTTCGAATTCAGTTATTCACAATGTACGTCTTCCTTTATAAAACTTTAATCTTTATATTTTGAAATTATTAAAGCAAAACTGTTGAGATTTATGATTATGATGAATCAATTGGTGAAGGGGTTCGAGGTTCTGGTAGAAGAAGAATTAACAATATAAATGAATATATATATTCAGCTGAAAAGTCTTTGAATAAGACAATTTATGTATTATGTCTTCTAATGTTGAGTGCTATTAGAGTTATGAAGGCAGTTATCACTTCCTGGTTAACTACACCATGGAAGGGTTCTTCTACAGGTACCTGAAAACAAAATTGTGTTAGAAGTGGTCTCAATGACCTGAGAACGTGGCCACAGTGCCCAAGGGACAACTGCTTGTAGTCGATCACACACGCACTTTTTGTGTTAGCGCCGTACTTGTTGGGACTTTACCGCCGGAGACGGATATCCGTGAGATAAGGCAATACCGATTGAATTGAAATTTGTAATACCAGTTGTATATTCTATCTATTCTCAATTTACAGGGAACATAGAACAAGAAATTGAACATTTCAGAGAAAATGAAGCAGAATTCCTGAAAATAAGAGGTAAACTAACTTTTAACAGTAGAGTCAGAAGATGACAAATAAGAAAAATGGGTTATATTATATTTACTTGGTATTGACTAAGTGAACATAACCTCACCACATTGCATAAGCTAGTGGAGGTCAGAACTCCGTAGCTAGAGGGATAACACAATGCCGTTTGAAACGAACAATACAGCGTTTGAGTCGCAAAGTGAACATCAACTTTGAGATGAAGGTACATACAGCTGATGAGTCCCAAGTTGGACGAAACGAGCATTCTGAAATTCACCGCTAACCACTCTCCATCTTTCCTTATGAGTTATATCATTCTTCATTGATATAAGCAGTGTATAACTCATGTGTATTGATCATTTATTGTTGAAAGATAACAGGCATTAATCTCGTTCACTTTTCAGATCAAATCAATATGCAATTGTCAAGTGAAAATCAAGCAATTGATGAATGTATGTTGTTATATGAATGAATCCAAACCAAATTTCTTTGATCATTGTAGATCTGATGTGTAGAAGTAAACTGTATAGATCTATTGAACTAAAGATTCTTATGGGAGGTTAGTGTCTATCTAATGTATTTCAGTTTGGAATTGATGAATTTGATTGTTTCGAATCGGTATGAACAATTGAGGTGTATATCATACGGATATATGATTTGTAGTTTCACTCAATTACAGAGTATTAAACATGATATATAGCACGAAACCCTGGTCCAGGGTTTCCTGTTGTCCAAGTTCAACCACCATCTTATTGCAACAGAGTGCAAGCAGTGTTGAGCCACGTATATTAGTGGCCACATTGCAACTTGATAGATAGCATTCTGATACGTCTTGTTGGTTGAATGCTATATTTCAATCTTAAGCTAGTTTCGTAATCCCTCAAGATACAACTACACAGTAACTTGAACACAAGAGAAAAGGCACGAAAATATCCAAGAAGCAATTTACTCTAAAAAGTTCATTTATGTACAGAAAATATAGGGTTTTTATAAATATTTTGGAAGTCCTTGGGTTTTCCTGAGTATTTTCGAATGCTACTAAACATAGTAACATTGTAGTTATCAGTCAATCAGAATTTCTACATGTGACTTTTCATTTTCGTGATATTTCTGGCACAACTTTTACTGAACGCTGATTGGATAAAAATGCTTCTTTATGTTTCCTGAGGTTTTCATATTTATTGCGAGAAATTTACAGAATCATCGCAACACATTCGATCAGCACCAAGAAATACTTGACATTGATGACATTGATCACTACCCAATGATCAATCAATTATGATTGATCACTCAAATTTATCTGTCAGTATGTTTCGTTGCAACTTTAAATTCACATATTCCACAATGTTTAGTGTTATTCAATGAAATAGAAAAACTAGAAAAACTATATGGTAAGTCTCAATTCCTTCAGTGTATTTGTCTTGTTGAACAGCTGAAATGCTCTTGATGTAAGTAACTTTTACCAATATTTCATGATAAGTGTATTTTGTAAGGTAACACAATCATCATTTTATGTACTTGATATCAATAATTCATTGAGTTGTGAATATTTCTAATGTGTTTCAATGTCTATGATGAAGAACTCTCTGTGCTTCATAGTTGTGACTCTGGAATCTTACCAAATGTATAACTTCATATTTAACCATTGAATTGTAGAAACAAATGTTACGAATTCTCATATAATGAAGAAATGTTTCAGTGAAGAACAGTCGGTTTATGCAAGTGAGTGTGAATACATACTGACGATTTGTTGGAATACAGGTTTCCATTGATTTGTTCAAGTATCATGAGTTGTTTAAATTGTTGGAATTGTTTATCTTGTTGATTGTACGTGTGATCAGATTGTGAAATTCCATGTACTGGTGAAGATAGGTGGAAGTGATGATGATGATGATGATGATGATGATGATGATGATGATGATGATGATGATGATGATGATGATGATGATGATGATGATGATGATGATGATGATGATGATGATGATGATGATGATGATGATGATGATGATGATGATGATGATGATGATGATGATGATGATGATGATGATGATGATGATGATGATGATGATGATGATGATGATGATGATGATGATGATGATGATGATGATGATGATGATGATGATGATGATGATGATGATGATGATGATGATGATGATGATGATGATGATGATGATGATGATGATGATGATGATGATGATGATGATGATGATGATGATGATGATGATGATGATGATGATGATGATTTATATATTTAACAACTCTGCAAACGAACATTATAGTTCCGTATAATTTAAATATTTACTGTAACATATGAATTTTCCTTATCACATTCATACAGAATTAGTGGATAAATACAGAAATGAAACTTGTCAATTACCCGTTTCTCACGATACACGAGGTAGATTTTCTAAATGAATATATCTGTGTTTATCATGTATAGACATTCTAATGCTTACTTACTTTTAGTTACGTCTATTATCCCCAATGGAGCATAGGCTGACGACCACCATTCTCCAACTCAATCTGTCATGAGACTTCCTTTCTAGTACTATCGAGTTGTTGTTCATTCTTTTCATGTCTGTCTCCATTTCTCGACGTAATGTGTTCTATGGTCTTCCTCTTTTCCTTTGGCATCAGGATTCCATGTGAAAACTTGTCTTGTGACACAGTTCGGTGATTTCCTTAATGTGTATACTATACACTGTAGTGCCGCGATTCGTTAATCGTTTACTTCGATAACCGTTATAATTCTAATCTTAACGGTGCGTAAAATCAGAAGACAAAGGATAGCAGCGACTACAGTTTATTGTCAAATAATTCAGGTCAGAAAGCTAACAACACCTGAGCAAATATGAACGAGCGAGTGAGCGGCAAGCGAGAGAGCGAGTGAACAGGCGAGTAAGCGAATGAAACGAACGAGGAGCAAGCAAGCGAGCGGATAGCAAGCAATTACACAGGCAATTTATAGTCACATTTAATAAGGACACAACAAAGCAAAACAATGGCTGATAATAGTATTTGCGTGCGTACATATATGGGGAGGAGTATGAGTCATCGAATGATATTTAAGTAGTCAACATTTCGGTAGAGCGTCATGTGCTCTAATGGTATAGCAGTGCAAAGAATATGCAAATTGTTACTATCCAAATAACGATGTCTGTTAATTAAGTTATAAAAAAAGGGCTTGACCAAAATTGGCGAGAATCGAAATTGATTGTAGGATGGTTGCTATAACACTTCCAGTGATTCTTCTTTATTTCTTCCTTCACTGCAATCTCACTTGTACTCTCTCACAATAGATCGTTGCTGATAATGTCTGACCAACAAATTCGAAATATTTTGCATAGACAACTGTATCTTCTGGATGACGTTTTTGACAGTTATCCATGTTTCTGCTCCATACGGTAGAATTGTCTTGACATTTGTATTGAAAATTGTGACTTTTTTGTTGGTTGAAGGTTGTTTTGAGTTCCAGGTGTTCTTCAATTGTAGATATGATGCTCTTGCTTTGTCAATCCGCGACTTCACATCTATCTGCATCACATCCAGTTGATCACTAGGACAATTGAGAAAGGATGACACTGAAAAACCTTGCCTGACGACAGTCTTTACTTCGAACGAGTTAGTGAGGGGTCCTCCATGCACGATTTCGCAGTTTAATCCATCATAGGAATTCCATATGATATTGACTACCTTCTGAGGCGCGCCGTAATGTCGAAGAAGCCTCCATAGTGTTGTCCTGTTCACGCTGTCAAACGCCTTCTCGTACTCAGTGAAGTTGATATAGGGTGATGAATTCTATTACTGAATTCTTCATTTAAACTGGCATTTTTTGGAGGATGTAGACTTAATGAACTAATTTTTTTTGTATTTTCAGATATCGAACTGATCAGACATTTAACTTCAAAACGATTTTATTATCTAAGAGTAATCGACAAAGAACGATGTAGGTGAAACGCTATTTTTCTTTGTACATACATAGTTTACATTCATAAACAAATTCAATTCAATATGGATTTGTAGAGATTGTTAAGTTTTTGATTGAGATCATAAATCGATTGATCCCACGAGCAGGACTGTGGATGCGCACTACTAATAAGTCTCATAATAGGACGAAACGGCCGTCCAGTACCTCCAGGTTTTCAATCATGATCTAACATCGGTCGATTCATGATCTGAATAAGAAAAGAATTCATTTGGAATGATCACCTCTCTCAACTCCACACAATCATTTTATTTCATTTGATAAGATCAAATAACAAAAAATGTCAACATATCACTTATTGTATTATTCAAAGAAGTTGAAGTCTGGTGATCGGAGAGGGCTAATGACGTGAAAGCAGCAGCTGCATCTGGTAACTGCTGGAATCTCTTCCAACTCATCCAAGCCGCTGGCAGCAAGAAGTCTGGTGTGAGTGAAAAAATCTATGAGGGTGACAGGATGCCAATCACTAACATCTGTCGACGTCTTGGACGATGGACAGAATTCTTAGAAGGGCAGTTCAACTGGCCTGGTGCTCCGGCAACATCGACCAGTTTGTCCTGCCCCCCATGGCTGGTGACGACTGATCCACCAAACGAGGCGGAAGTCCGCAAGGAACTCCAACTCTTGAAATGCTACAAATCATCGGGCCCAGATGACCTACCTCCTGCCCTTTTTAAAGATGGTGGTGACTTTCTGGCTAAGGAATTGACTGTGTTGTTTACAAAGGTTTGGGAGCTGTAGAGCGTTTCAGCGTTATGGAGTGAGTAGATCGTTGTTCCTTTCTTTAAAAAGGGTTCACGTTGTTCCTGCAATAACTATCGGGGGATAAGTCTACTTTCGATTGCGTTCAAACTATTGGCTTCTATCATTCTTCGTAGGTTGTTTAAAACCCGAGAACGATTGACTCGCGAGGAGCAGGCTGGTTTTCGTTCTGGTCGAGGATGCATTGATCACATCTTCACCCTCCGCCAAATGTTAGAACACCGTCATACTTATCGCAGGCCAACAATCGTAGTGTTTCTTGATATCAGGGCGGCCTTCGATTCGTTGGACAGGACTGTTCTCTGGGATTGTCTATTGAAGAAGGGTGTGCCTGAGAAGTTCATTAACATCTTAAAGGCCCTGTATACGAACACCTCAGGCAGAGTGAGGGCATACAACCACCTTTCTCCCTTGTTCCATTCGAGCAGTGGGGTTAGGCAGGGTTGCCCGATCTAACCATTCCTCTTCAACTTTGCTGTCGACGACATCCTGGAAACAGCTCTGATGGATGTAAGTAATGGCGGTGTGGATATGTTGCCTGGAGAACGACTTCTCGACCTTGAGTATGCGGATGATATTGTCTTACTGTGCGATAATGCCCAAGGCATGCAATCAGCACTTAATCAGTTGGCAATCAGTGTCCGCAGGTACGGTATGTGCTTTGCACCCTCCAAGTGCAAAGTACTCCTACAAGACTGGAAGGATTCTCATCCTGTACTCACCCCGGATGGTGAGCAGATTGAAGTAGTTGAGAAGTTCGTGTATCTAGGTAGCTACATAAGTGCTGGTGGTGGCGTGAGTGATGAGATTGATGCACGTATAATAAAAGCCAGAGCGGCTTATGCCAATCTGGGTCATCTTTGGCGCCTTCGTGATGTTAGTCTGACTGTAAAAGGTCGGATCTACAACGCGTCAGTGAGAGCACTTTTGTTCTATGCTTGTGAAACCTGGCCTCTCCGAGTTGAGGATGTTAGACGTCTCTCTGTGTTTGATCATCGTTGTCTCCGAAGGATTGCTGACATACAGTGGCAACATCATGTTATTAATGCAGAGGTTCGGCATCGTGTGTTCGGGCGCCGAGACGATAATTCAATTGGTGTCACCATCTTGAAACACCGACTTCGGTGGCTCGGACATGTTTTACGAATGTCGTCCCAGAGACTTCCGCGTCGTGCATTATTTGCCGACCCTGGGACTGGTTGGAGAAAGCGGAGAGGAGGTCAGTGTATGACATGGTGTCGTGGCATGAAAGAGAGCTGCAAAGGGCTAGCTTCCGTTGGTCCTTCACGACTCCCTGGATGGGGTCCGAGAGATGGTGCAACACAGTTGCTAGAGACGTTATCAGATATGGCTCAGAATAGAAGCCAGTAACGTTCCTGCTGTAACCTTCTTTTACTTTCTTCATAAACAGTGTTCATAACCTCCTTTACAATGCATCCATCTTCTAGAATATTGATTTACACTTCATATTCATTATAAATCAGTCATCATTATTCATTTAAGTGTATTAAATGTTTCTATTTGTTTTTATAAAATTTTAGTTCGTCATCACTTTCTATGGAAGATTTTTGTAGAAATGAAGAGACGGTTACAGATTAGTAAGTGATACAATAGAGAAAAATTTGATTAAATCTTCGATCGTATTTTTCTATAGTAGATTCGGTTGAAGATCAAGATCATGGAAAAGTATAAATTTTGGTGAGAAATTACTGTTCAGTACCTTTGAATATATATACAAATAATACAAAAGTACATGATGAGATGATGAAGAAGATTCGTATCTGACATGTATGATTTTGGTGGAAGATACACAAAACTTACTTATCTAATTACTTACTTACTGACTGACGCCTGTTACTCCTCGTCGAGGAGGATAGGCCACCCACTAGCATTCTCCATACAACTCTGTCCTGGGAAATTTTTAGCAGTTCTTTCTAGTTCCTACTCATCCTTTTCATATCTACTTGCATTTCTCGGCGTAATGTGTCCTTTGACCTTCCGCTATTCCGCTTCTGTTCGGGATTCCAAATCAGCGTTTCCCTGGTGGTGTAGTTTGATGATTTCCTTATTGTATGTCCTATCCACTTCAAATGTCTTTTCCTAATTTCCTCTTCAGGTGGAAATTGGTTTGTTACTGATAGTATCCGACCAGCGAATGTTGATTATTTTGCGTAAACCACTGTTTGTAAATATTAGTACTTTCTTGACGATGGATGTAGCAGTTCTCGACCTTTTATTTCCGTACAGTATAACTGTCCTGATGTTCGTATTGAAGATAGTGACTTTGATATGGATTGACAGTTATTTTGAGTTCCATATGTTCATCAGTTGTATGAATGAGTTCTTTACTTTACCTGTCCTAGCCTTTGTGTCTGTATCCAATCCTCCTTGTTTATCAATGATGCTGATCGGGTAGGTCAGAGATCCCAGTGTTTCTCCACCAAGTGTGACTGGATTGTTGTTCTCTATGTTGAATTCTAGAATCTTGCTTTTCTCTTTGTTGCATGA